GTGGAAGTTCCAGGTCTTGTAGAGGAGGGAACGAGGGAGGGAGGGAGGGAGGGAGGGAGCCGGCCGGGGAGAGAGAGAGAGAGAGATGAAGGTCGAGAACAAGAACCAAACTCAGTCTAAGCAAGCCAGGGTTGGAGTGGGGGGGTTGGGTGCTATGGGGACGGGTGGGTGAGATTTGGGTGCCAAGGGGTTAGGGCTTAGGGTGGGGCTCGGATGAGGGGTGGGGCTGGACTAGGGGTGGGGATACACATGGGAGTGGGGGTGAGGTGGGGTGGGTTGAGGTGGGGGGAACAAGTGGGAGGGGCTAAGAAACACTTAGCACAAACCCAAATGGTCAGAAATGACTTGAGTTTATGATCCGATCGAGATTCGGGACAACAAACTTTATCGTCCGGGGTGGGTGGGTGGGGAGGGGCGGGAAACGGGCGGAGGTGAGGGGAAATTGAAGCCCCCCACCCCACAACAGCCCCCACCCCCACAGCAACAGCCCCCCCACGCAACACACCAACACCCCCACAACAACAACAACAACAACAACAACACCCCCACAGCAAACAGCAACAACAACAACAACAGCCCCCCCCCAACACCCCCACCCCACCCCCACGCAACAACAACAACAACAAACAGCAACACCCCCCACCGCAAACAGCCCCCCCCCACCCCACACAGCAACAACAACAGCAAACAACCGCCCCCCCCACACAACCCACCCCCCACCGCACACCTCCCACAGCAACAGCCCTCCCACACCCCACACAACAACAACAGCAACAACAGCCCCCCCACAGCAAACAGCAACAACAACAACAACCCCCCCCACAACAACAACAACAACCGCCCCCACAGCAACAACAACAAGCAACAACAACAACAGCCCCCACAACAATAACAACAACAGCCCCCCCCCACCGCCACAACAACAGAACCCCCACCACCACAACAACAACACAATAACAACAAAACAGCGATAACGACAACGACGACAATAATAACAATAACGACAATGATAACGACAATAACAATGACAACAGTAAACACTGATATAACAACAACAACAATAATATCAACAATTGACAAATATCAGCGCCGGTGACGGGTTTCCGTGTGTGTCGGACACTCGGTTTTGATCAATTTTCTCTGTGTGTGTGTGTGTGTGTGTCGGTGGGAACAGTATTTGGGTCATGTGGAAGTGGATGAATCGCGAGGAATGCACATCTGTGAGGACGCCGTCAAGAAACTGAAAACGGTGAGTTATGGGGAACTTTTTAATCAACGACAATAATAATTAATAATCATAATAATAATAATCGTTGCATGTGATAGAGCGCTTTTCACGTCGGGAGAGGACGTCCCGAAGCGCTTCACAGAACACACTGTAAAGTGAGTTGACTGTATATTTGTGGGCGAACGCGGCGGCCAATTGCGCACAGCAATGTCCCACAAACAGTCGTGGGTTGAAAATGACCATTTTAATTATTGTTTTTGTTTTTTGGAGGGATTGTTATTATAATAATAATAATAATACTAATAATAACAGCTCACCGACAGGTGTAAGTTCTTGTTAAAGAGATGCGGTCGCTTTTCGGGCGAAATAATCCCCTCGAACAAAAAAGACTGCCTTCGTTTCACCCACAAAATGAACAGACACTGCACTCGGCAGTAAACCGCCGGTGAAGCTCTTCGAGACGTCTCTCAACCGAGAGATAACCATTAACCACGAAGAGTATCGCCCGAAAAATATAAAGTCAGTTCAAATTTACGGCGCGTGTCCCGCGAAGGGTTTTGAGACGCCTCGAAGACGGGTCAGACCTGAGGATTATCATTTATTATGAGTCACAATAATCATCAATTATTATTAATTATCATTGTTAGTCATCGTCGCCGTTGTTGTTATTGTTGGTGGTTAAAAAGATGTAAATGTGGACGTGTATCTGTTTTACAGACGGGGAAAAAATCCGTAAAGGCCATTCTGTGGGTGTCCGCAGACGGACTCCGAGTGGTCGATGACAAAACGAAGGTGAGGGGCGTCGTCACGTAGGAACAGGAGGAGGCCATTCAGCCCCTCGAGCCTGTTCTGCCACTCTATTAGTTCAGGGAAGTGGTGTAGCTCAGAGCTCTGGCCTCGGAATTTAACCCTTTAAAGCCCTGGCATCGCTCTGCCCCCCCCCCCCGCCACCACCACCACCACTCACACTGCGCACACTCACTCACTGCTCACACTCACCGCTCACATTCACTCACTGCTCACCCTCACGCACACTCACTGCTCACACTCACGCGCACTCGCTCACTGCTCACACTCGCTCACTGCTCGCACTCACGCACACTCACTGCTCACACTCACGCGCACTCGCTCACTGCTCACACTCACTGCTCGCACTCACGCGCACTCACTCACTGCTCACACTCGCTCACTGCTCGCACTCACGCACACTCACTGCTCACACTCGCTCACTGCTCACACTCACTGCTCGCACTCACGCACACTCACTGCTCACACTCGCTCACTGCTCACACTCACTGCTCGCACTCACGCACACTCACTGCTCACACTCGCTCACTGCTCACACTCACTGCTCGCACTCACGCACACTCACTGCTCACACTCGCTCACTGCTCACACTCGCCCCTCTCACACTCAGTGCCTCTCTCCCCCGCCCCCAGGACCTGATTGTGGACCAGACCATTGAGAAGGTCTCGTTCTGTGCCCCCGACCGTAACTACGACAAAGCTTTCTCCTACATCTGCCGGGACGGGACCACTCGGCGCTGGATTTGCCACTGTTTCCTCGCTCTGAAGGACTCGGTGAGTGTAACCCATTATCCCAACCGTTACCCCCATTAACACAACCATTTACCCCCATCAGCACAACCGTTACCCCCATTAACACAACCATTTACCCCCATCAGCACAACCGTTACCCCCATTAACACAACTGTTACTCCCACACAGCCAGAGTCTGACGCTGGTTTGTGTGTCTGTTTCAGGGCGAGAGGCCGGGCTGGGGCCGGGCTGGGGCAGGGCTGGGGTTGGGGGCGCAGGGCTGGGGTTGGGGCGCAGGGCTGGGGTTGGGGGCGCAGGGCTGGGGTTGGGGGCGCAGGGCTGGGGTTGGGGGCGCAGGGCTGGGGGCGCAGGGCTGGGGTTAGGGTTTGGGGTTGGGTGTAGTGACTGCATGTGTGTTTCAGGGGGAGAGGCTGAGCCACGCTGTGGGCTGTGTTGGGGGGTTGGGTTTGGGGTGCAGGGCTGGGGTTGGGGGCGGGGCTGGGGCTGGGGTAGGTGTAGTGACTGTGTGTGTGTTTCAGGGGGAGAGGCTGAGCCACGCTGTGGGCTGTGTTGGGGGGTTGGGTTTGGGGGTGCAGGGCTGGGGGTTGGGGGCGGGGCTGGGGTAGGTGTAGTGACTGTGTGTGTGTTTCAGGGGGAGAGGCTGAGCCACGCTGTGGGCTGTGCGTTCGCCGCCTGCCTGGAGCGGAAGCAGAGACGGGAGAAGGAGTGTGGGGTGACCGCCAGCTTCGACCCCAGTCGCACCAGCTTCACCAGGGAGGGGTCCTTCCGCATCACCGCCCCCAGCCCCGCCTCCAGCTCAGGCCCCGCCTCCAGCTCAGGCCCCGCCTCCAGCTCAGGCCCCGCCTCCAGCTCTGGCCCCGCCCAGCCCGACAGGGAGGCCAATAGGCAACTGCAGGAGAAGAGGAAAGGTGAGGGGGGGTGTCAGTCAGGCTCCGCCCACACCACTGTGACTCCTCCCTCACACACCCTGACTCCTCCCTCACACACCCTGACTCCTCCCACACACCCTGACTCCTCCCCACCACTGTGACTCCTCCCCCACACCCTGACTCCTCCCTCACACACCCTGACTCCTCCCTCACACACCCTGACTCCTCCCACACACCCTGACTCCTCCCCATCACTGTGCCTCCTCCCCCACACTGTGACTCCTCCCCCACACCTGACTCCTCCCCACACCCTGACTCCTCCCCTCACCCAGACTCCTCCCCCACACGGCCGGACTCCTCCCCCACACCCTGACTCCTCCCCACACCCTGACTCCTCCCCCACACCCTGACCCCCCCCACACCCTGACTCCTCCCCCACACCCTGACCCCTCCCCACACCCTGACTCCTCCCCCTGTACTCTTGACTCCGAGCGCAAGGATTATCATTATCATTAAATTGTTGTTTCGTTTGCAGCGGAAACGCCCCCCGCCGCCTCCCCCGGCCCCCAGCCCCCACCGGGCTCCAGCTCCCCCCCCGCGGGGCAGGTTGCGGGGGCTTGCTCCCCGGGGGAGAGGGGGGAGCCTGGCGGGCAGCGAGCTATCCCCCGGCGACACGCGCCCCTGGAGCAGCTTGTGAGGCAGGGATCGTTCCGGGGATTCCCTGTCCTCAGCCAGAAAAACTCGCCCTTCAAACGACAGCTCTCTCTCCGGCTCAGCGACCTGCCCTCCACACTGCAGAGGAAAACCACGGACCTTCAGGGGAGCAGCCCAGGTGAGGTGGGGGGGGGGAGGGTGGGGCGACGGAGGGAGGGTTGAGGGGCACGTAGGAACAGGAGGAGTCCCTTCAGCCCCTCCAGCCTGTTCCGCCATTCTATTCTATCACATCATGGAGTCTCTCCCTGTAGCTCAGGGGTTAGACCCCTCCCCTCGCACCCCACAGCCCCTGTAGCTCAGGGGTTAGACCCCTCCCCTCGCACCCCACAGCCCCTGTAGCTCAGGGGTTAGACCCCTCCCCTCGCACCCCACAGCCCCTGTAGCTCAGGGGTTAGACCCCTCCCCTCGCACCCCACAGCCCCTGTAGCTCAGGGGTTAGACCCCTCCCCTCGCACCCCACAGCCCCTGTAGCTCAGGGGTTAGACCCCTCCCCTCGCACCCCACAGCCCCTCTAGCTCAGGGGTTAGACCCCTCCCCTCGCACCCCACAGCCCCTGTAGCTCAGGGGTTAGACCCCTCGCCTCTCACCCCACAGCCCCTGTAGCTCAGGGGTTAGACCCCTCCCCTCGCACCCCACAGCCCCTGTAGCTCAGGGGTTAGACCTGGAGTAAGGAAACTTGCCCAAGGTTTCACCCCCTGCCAGGAATCCAACCCGGGTCCAGCGTAGCCCGTAAAGCGCTTTGAGACGTCTCGACCTGGCGTGTGGGGGAGTGGGGGTGGGGGGTGGTTGGCGTGTGCGAGAGCTTGGCGTGTGTGTGGGTGATGGAGGGGGGTGGGGGCGTGGTTGGGGGCTTGGCGTGTGCTGGTGACATGTGCGTGTCTCTCTCTCTTTCTCTAGTACCGGAATCTGACTCCTCGCCGAGCAATGACCCCGACACTATCAACGCCCTCTGCTCACAGATCACGACATCTTTTACCAGAGCCTCCGATGATCCATTCTCCTCTCCGTCACTGATCAACTCGATTGCAGGAACCGCGCACACAATACCTCCCGCAGACACTCAGGGTAAGGCCAAGGGGAATGTCTGGGATAGCACCTCATCGTGGATTCTCTCCCTGTAGCTCAGGAGTTAGACCCCCCCCCCACCACCCCTCGCCTCGCATAGCCAGAGGACCCGGTTTCTCCCGGGCGGGTCAGGTCAGGTCAGGTCAGGGCGAGACCTTAGGCAACGGGAAACCCTGGGAATAAGGCCTCATCCTAAGCCCTAAGGTCACCCTCCTACCCCACCCTCCCCGGCCTCTAACCCCTCCTGATCCCAACCCCCAGCTCTGGTCCAAACCCCTGACCGTCCAGCGCCTGGGGATGTCCTCCCTACGTGAAACCCTCTCACTCGTCTTCAAATCCCTTCCCGCCCCGACACCTGCCTCCCAACCTCCCCCACCTGCTCCCTTCTCCCCTCAACCCACAACCCACTCCCTCCCTCGACAGGCTCCGGCCTCCAGCTCGCGCCCTCCCCTCCGCCATCGGCGGCTGCCTTGTCAGACGCTACGCCCCGAAACTCCCGTCACCCTCTCCCCCAATCCCTCCCTCAGCCTCGCCCCCTTCCTTCCCCGACTTCAGGGTCGTGCCTGGAGACCTTCCCCTTCAACCAGTGCCTATAGTCACCTCTCCCCTCCTCTCCCTACCTCCTTCCCTTTGCCGCTGTCACGTGCTCTGGGACGCTACCCTACGCAAGGGTGGGGGATGCTGTGGAGCTATTGGTGTCCGAGCCGCCTGTGTGTGTGTGTTGTGCCGTGTTTTATTGTGTGCGGTTTGTCTCTCAGGTGCAGGGGGTTGGGGGGAATCGACCCCGATGACCACTCCAGCCTTCCAGCCCGGGCACAGACGTACCCCATCGGAAGCCGAGCGCTGGCTCGAGGAGGTCACCAAAAATCTGCGGGCCCAGCAGCCCACGATGGGGGGGGCTGTGACCTCGGTGACCCTCCCGGCCTGCCCCCCGCCCCAGCTCTTCCCGGTGCCTTTCGATGCCTCTTCAGCGCCCCCGGCGGGCATGTTCGCGCCCCCACCCCTTCCCCCTCCCCTCCCAGCCCCCACAGCCTTCTTGGGGGTCGCACCCTACACCCCGTGTCTGACCTACGCCAACGGAATGTCTTACCCGGGCGCCAACGTCCCCGTGGTGGGCATCACACCCTCTCAGATGGTGGCGAACGCCTTCGGGAGCCCCGCCAGCTTCCAGACTCTCCACCAACACAGCAAAGCCACTGCCTTCCCCCTAGGTTTCGGCAGCCAGGCCAACAGCGGGTACCCGCAGCCCAGGCTCGGCCAAGAGCCCAAGGGGTTCACAGGCCCGAGCGGAGTGAGCGTTCTGACCAGTCCGTGGCCTCCGGAACCCAGAGGGAGAGCAGTCAAGGAGATCGACCCCTTCGAAGCTCAGTGGGCAGCTTTGGAGACAAACACCCAGCAACAGGCCTCATCTCTCGCCACCAACCCTTTCTCCAACGATCTACAGAAGACATTCGAGATTCATCTTTGAAAGCCAGCACCTGGCAAAGGTCTATCTCCCTCTCCCTCCCTCCCTCTCCCTCCTCTCTCTCTCCCTCCCTCTCTCTCCCTCCCTCCTCTCCTCCTCTCCCTCCCTCCCTCCTCCTCTCTCCCTCTCTCCTCTCCCTCCTCTCTCCCTCTCTCCTCTCCCTCCCTCTCTCCCTCCCTCCCTCTCTCCTCTCCTCTCCCTCCCTCGCTTACAGTGACCGCAAAGATCTCAAAGACTGAACGGTGAAACCACTAGACAAAAAAATGAGACTTTTTTTAATATATACAATATATATATAATTTCCTTTTTTTCGTTCTGGAGAAGATATCAATGTTCTCTCAAGAACCGACGAACCCCTCCCCCACCCCCACACAACAGGACTCTCCTCGTTTAGTTGTTGTTGTTGTTGTTGACTCCAGCTCCCTTCTAAAGACTGGGTGGGGCTGAGGGGGGAATCGAAGGCGAGAGGGTTGAGGGGTTAAGAGACCCAAACCCTCTTCCCCCCCCAATGCACGTTATCCTGTTGATGGACACTTTGATGTGAAAGTTTGAGGAAGTGACTTGTGTTTTGGAATGGTGAGGGGGAGAACATAGTGAACACAGGCAACAGAAAATGGCTGCTCCATCACTTACCCACCCCCCCCGCCCCTCCCTCTCCTCCCAGGGCCAGCCATTGCCTGTGACCCAGGTAATACCTGTTACAAGTCAATGGTGGAGAGAGCGAGAGGAATGGGGGGAGAGTAGAGGGGGGAGTGGGTTGGGGGTGGGGGGCACAATCTGTACAATTTTGGAAGACACCCAAAAATAATGCCCCATCACCCCCCCTCTCCCCCTCGCACTCTCCCCATCCCCTCTCCACCTCCCATCTCATTGAGTTGTCTTTCCAGAAGCTTCGAAGATGGTTTGACGTAAGTTCCATTACCCTCAGACGTTCTCCTTGACATTGAGTTTACAGTTCATCACATCGTCAGCATCCAGGTGTGGGGGAGGAGGGAGGGGACAAGAGGGGGAGGGGTGGGGGTGAGGGACATAAGAATTTGCTGGACGAAAGGAGACCGAGGGCCATCCAGTTTACCTGCCATCATCTGGCAGTCGTTTAACAAGTCTTGTCCCAATTATATTCCAATACAATCTAAGGGTTCACTGTTTGTGTTGGTGGTGGGGAGGTGATGGGGGAGTGGTGGGGGTGGGGGGCAGTTATTTTCACAGGTTTCCTTGGCTTTCTAACCTTAAACACACTCCCACCTCATCAAGCCCGGCTGAGGACTTGTAGGAGGATTAGCGGCCATTTTGAAATTGGTGGGAGATGGGAAGAGATGGCTGGGGAGACGGAGAGGGAGGGATCAGAGAATTATAGGGCACAGAAGGAGGCCATTCGGCCCATCGTGTCTGTGCTGCTCTTTGAAACAAGCTTCCAAATCAACCCCACTCCCCCGCTCTCTCCCCATAGCCCCGATCAACCCCACTCTCCGCTCTCTCCCCATAGACCTGCAGACTTGTCCTCCCCAAATATCTCGTGAAAGTTGTTATGGAATTGGCTTCCACTATCCTTTTGGGCAACACAGTGCAGATTCCAACCAACCACTCGCTGCGTGAAGATAGGAGTTTGGATGTGATGTGATTTGAGGGTAAGTGGGGAAGCGATTGGGATCCTATAGGAAACGACTGGGAAGAGATGAAGTGAATGGGAAAAGATGGAAGGAGATGGGAGATTAATGGGATGCAGGGGACTGGGATGATGGGACCGGAGTTTACAAACTACCATTTTATGTATTAAGAATTCTTCTTTCCAGGATTTTTATTTAAGGATAAAAACAGGATCCGGTGCCCGGTCCCTCATTCCAACTCACGGCCACGGCTACAGCCCATTTGAAAGTAAAATTATCGACACTTTCCAGAGTTTATAAATCTTTATGGCCAGTAATATATTCGGTTAAATTAATTGTTACCCAACAGCAAGTAGGAACCCGGTTGTTAGTCGATGGGCGGATCACTTTTCCAGGGGTAATAATCCCCACGCCCCCCCCCCCCCCCAAAAAAAATATTGATCGCTCGATCCATTTGTTTGTGGGACGTCGATGGGCGCAATTATTGGCTGCCGCGTTTCGCCCACAAAGTACACGGTCACTGCACTTGGCAGTGTATCCCGTGAAGCGCTTTGAGATGCCTCGACCGCGTGATAAGGTGCTATGTCAAAATGCAAGGATTGTTAACGATCCGATGAGGAACACCCTCTACCTCCTGACTGTGTGTGTGGGGACGTCGCTGGGGGCGCAATTGGCTGCCGCGTTTGGCCCACAGCGCGCACACACAGTCACTCCACTTTACGGCGCATCCTGCGAAGCGCTTTGAGACGTCTGGAAGACGGGATAAGGCGTCGGGTCAAACGCCGGGATTATTATTATTATTATTATCCAACTGCCACGGTCTGGGAGGTGAGACTTTAGCCAGTGCTTGAGAAGGAAAAACACATCAAATTTCCATGAACCTCAACCTCCCCAATCCCCCCCCCCCACCCCCTCACCCTTCCGTTCCCCACCCCCACCGCCCCCCCACCACAACCCTGGATGGCCAGAAAGTTTACAGATGGTTTCCTCGGGATGTGCCGACCATCCCTGACAATGTCGCATTCTAGAACATTCCAAATTTCCTGGTCTACGGTTGACTCCAATCAACCGGGACCGGGACCTGATCCGATCAAACCTCACTGTCTCCCGACTCCCTAACCCCACTCATCATTCCCCCCACCCACCCTTCTCCCCCCCCCCCCCCCCCGTTGTCTTGACGGACTGAGCCAAGGCCCTATATTGAACAGCACCCCATGTTGTGGTTTAACTTAATGCCAAATCCTTATTTTATATTGCATTAATATATATTTTAAATAGTTATTTGCTTGATAAGCTGTAAAATACCGACAGAGGGTTAACGCGACCGAGAGATTTAAGGCTGCGGTCATTGAGAAACTTGTGTTGACTTATCATCGAGTGTATCGCAACCTCTTAAAACCTTCCTCCCCCCCCACCGACTAACCCTTAAGAGCACAGGAGGACGTTATTCAGCTCATCAAACCTGCCTGTGCTTTTATTCCTGGAGTCTCTCCCTGTAGCTCAGGGGTTAGAGGACCCGGGTTCGATTCCCGGGCGGGTCAGGTCAGGGCGAAGGATTGGGCAAGTTTCCTTACTCCCCCCCCCCCCCCACACACCGACACACACACACACACCTCTGTTTACCAGCAGTAATTAGGAATCCCGTCATCAGTCGATTGCTGGATCGCTTTCCAGGGATAATAATAATCCCTTCGAAATACATAAACTAACAAATTCATAATAATTTGGTCACTCGATCCACGACTGTTTGTGTTGACGCTGCTGTGTGCAATTGGCTGCCCAACAAAATACAGTCACTACACTAGTGTATCCTGTGAAGCGCTTTGAGACGTCTCGAAGGAGCGATAAGGCGCTCTTGTCTAATGCAAGTATTATTATTATTATTATGTGACATAAATTATCTCCCTGACCTTCCTAGGGTCAGGGAGGTGGAAATCAGCCAGGCTTCCTGCTCCTGGGCCCTCAAAAGCAACCTTTACAGGTAAGGAGCAGCTATGGCAGTCAGCGTGTCGGGAGAAACTTTTGACACCCTTTACGTTGAGTTTGGGGGGGGGGGTGGGTGGGGGGGAAGAGGGAGAAAGAAAGTGATTAACAACAAAAAGAGGGCAGATAGACACGATGAGCCAAATAGCTTCCTCCTGCCGCGATTCTACACTTATCCTCCCCCCCCCCCCCCACCCCGTTTGTTTTGAAACGCTGCCATGTTATGGTGAAATCGTGGGAGGATTTGCGGGGTGGGGGGAGTGGGTGGTGGGGGAGGGGGGGGAAGAGGGAGGGGGAAGGTTTGATATTCTATGTCTTTAGGAATGATCTGATTCTTTCTTACCCGCCGGGCGCCGCTGTTCTGTACTGACTGACGGGTGTGTAAAGGTGGGAGCTGACGGGTTACTAAGGGGACGTGTTTATTCAGTTGCAAGTTTCCAATAAAAAGAAGTTTTACCTCTTATAAAAGCCACTCGACCCGTCTCCCCCCCCCCCCCCCCCACAAATGAACCGCCTCGTCACCCAGCGCCGGGGGTGGGGGGGGAGAGGAGAGGAGAGAGATACGCAGGGTCCTGGCGTGTCGTGCGGTCCTGCAGCTCGGCGGTTAGAGCGCTCGCCTCGCGAGCCGGAGGACCCGGGTTTGATTCCCGGTCAGGACAGGACCGGGCGAAACGTTGGGCAAGTTTCCTTACCCCCCCCCCCCACACCCACGCACACAGACACACACACACACACCCCCACACACACACACACACGCACAGACACACACACACACACGCGCGCCCGTGTCCCCGGCAGTCAGTCGCTTGTCAGGCGATTGGGGGATCACTTTTCGGGGGTAATAATCCCCTTCAAAACAATAATAATTCGGTGGCTTCGACCCCGCGGCTGTTTGTGGGGACGTCGCTGTGCGCGATCGGCCGCCGCGTTTCGCCCACAAAACACACAGTCACTACGCTTTACAGCGTATCCCGTGAAGCGCTTTGAGACGTCTCGAGGACGGGATCGGGCGCTGTAGCGAATGCCAGGATAATTATTATTATTATTAATAACACAGTGTTTATCTTCGCTGAGAGTCTTGATCTCCCTCTACAGTCAGGACTGGAGATCAACCCTCAAACCAGGAGACATTCCACCCCAACAGTTTCCTTACTCCCCCCCCCCCCCCCCCCACACACACACACACATGCGCCTCTGTGTCGATCGGGGGATCACTTTCCGGGGCTAATAATCCCTTTTAAAAATATATAATAATAATAATTCGGTCACTTCAACCCCCGGCTGTTTGTGGGGACGTCGCTGGGGCCGATCGGCTGCCGCCTTTCGCCCGCAAAACACACACAGTCACTACACTTGTCGGTGTATCCCGTGAAGGGCTTTGAGGTGAGGCGCTTGGTCAGATGCGAGGACGGTTGTCACTGATCGGGGCCGGGACGCTGGGAGGAGGAGGTCAAATGGGTCGAAGGCTTCTCCTCACCCTGAACCTCTCTGGTGTTGTCCACAGTGAGAACGTGGGACCACACGTCTGCCGCCCGAGCCCGAGCCCGACACACGACTGTCCCGCTGCAGCTGCACAGACCGACAGCAGGTGGCGCTGTTTGGTACCGATTTTGGTGTAATCCAAACTGATGAGATGAAATATCTGTGTGTCTGTCTGTGTGTGTGTCTGTCTGTCAATAACACAATAACCGGTTGACGTAAAGATATGATTTATACCTCACTGGAAAGGATTTGCATTGGGGAGTGTCATGGGCATATTATTTTTTTGTGTAGGGGGCGATCTATCGTTGATGAGCTATGGCAGCCACGGGTACAGCTAGTATATCCTTAACAATCCTTGCGTGCGATACAGCACCTTATCACGTCGTCGAGACGCTTCACGAGATATACTCATTATTAATAAGTGTAGTGACTGCGTATTTGGTGGGTGGGCGAAACGCGGCAGCCGATTGCGCACAGCACCAGTCCCACAAACAAGCGGTAGATTGAGTGACCAAATTAACTATCAGTAGCATTAATTAATAATTATTATGATTAATTAATTAATTTATTATTATTTAAGATCACAGCGAGCAAGTGAGAGAGAGTGAGTGAGCGAGTGAGCGAGTGAGTGAGTGAGCGAGTGAGTGAGCGAGTGAGCGAGTGAGCGAGCGAGGGAGTAAGAGAGTGAGTGAACAAGTGAGCAGTAGTCCCCACTTTGGTTAGTGATTGTCATTTATTGGCATATTTATTGGATTGTCATTTATTTATTCAAAGGTATAAAATAATGACCATTTTACCTGAAAGAGTAGTGTTACAATTAAACGGAGAGAGCGCGAGAGAGAGAGAATGTCATTCTAACAGCCTATCACCCATAGTCGTGAACACTGACTTGCGCGAGTGGGGGGGGGAGTGGGGGGTGGGGGGGGTGGTGGTGGGGGTGTGAGTGAGATGCCGTGTAAACACAAGTTGTCGCTGTTGTCGTTGTCTCCTGACAGTAAAAATCCTTCCTGATCGTGACGGGCAATCGATCGAGCGGAAACTTCTGGCAGATTCGTGACGTGTTTCTGTGAGGGTGCGTGAGTTGGGGGGCATTGGGGGAGATGGGGGAGAAAGGGCAGAAAAGGGGCCAACTCCGCCCCCGCCACCCCCCCCCCCACACACACACATACATACACACAAGCACACATTTCCCTACAAGTCACCTTTCTTCTCGTTGCAACCGACACACACTCGAACAGGGTGGTCCCAGCCCCGGGAGGGGACCGATCGCTGAGACCCCGAGCAGTCGGTACAGAAGCCTTCCCCACAGCAGCGGCAGTGATGTTTGGGGGTGTCCGGGGTAAAAGCCTTCTCACAGTGGTGACACTTCACCATCTGATGGTCAGGGACCCAGTACTCAGGCCTCGCTGCCTCCTTCACAAACCCTGGGGGCAGAGCCACAGGAATAATCATAGTAATAATTAACTAATAGCAATAATAATGAACAATAATAGCGATAATAACGAATAATAGAATTAATAGTAATAATATTAATGAATAATAACAGTAACAATAATGAATAATAGTAGTAATAATAAATAATAATAGTAGTAGTAACAGTATTAACACAAAATAATAATAATAATAACCCGGGCGTTTGACCCAGAGCCTCATCACATCTTCGAGACGTCTCAAAGCGCTTCACAGGATACAATGCAAAGTGTAGTGACTGTGTGTTTTGTGGGCAAGTAAGGAGACTTGGCTAAGGTTTCGCCCTGACCTGCCCGGGAATCAAACCCAGGTCCTCTGGCTTGTGAGGCGAGGGGTCTAATCCCTGAGCTACAGGTATTAAGAGGAGATTTAAGACGTACCGAGGGGATAGTCCACCACAGACGAGACTGCGTGCAGAGTGCTCTCAGCCGCCTCAGCGAACCTCCTCGCCAGCAAACCCTCCCCCTCACCTCCGGCCGCTGTAAAGGCAAAGTGTTCACCAGATCCACCAATGGGTAAAGCAATGGCCGAGATGTGTGTGGGTTTAGCTGGTTAGACTCCAGCAGTTACCCCCAACGCACCCTCTGGGCTCTCTCCCCTCCCCTCCCCTCCACCCCGCACGCCTTGGGCTCTCGCCAACCGAGTGTGCAAGCAACCGAGAGACCAAGTGTGCAAGAGACTGTGTGTGCAAGAGACTGTGTGTGCCAGAGATCAAGTGTGCAAACAAGCAAAGGATTGCGGGAACGTGCAGTGGTGCGAGCAAGTGTGCGAGCGAGAGTGCGAGCGTGTGATTACCTGCTGTGCCCCCCCCTGCAGCGAGGCAGGCATTGCAGACCCTGACGGGGGTTGCCCCCCAGCCTCGCTCGGGCACAGGCCTCCTCCCCCCCGAACACAGGTCACAGAATCCCTCCCCACACTGGCGGCAATGGTGCTTCCTCTGTCCGTCCGCAAACACCTTCCTGCACCCGTGACATTCCTGTCAGGGGCCCAAGTTCACGTTAACACACGACAACAACTTGCCCTTATATAGTTCCCGACGTGTGCAAGTGTATGTGTGTGTCTGTGTGTGTCTGTACGTGTGTCTGTGTGTGTGTGTGTGTGGGGGGGGGGTGGAGTAAGGAAACTTGCCTAAAATTTCGCCCCTGACCTGACCAGCCCGGGAATCGAACCCGGGTTCCTCTGGCTCGCGAGGCCAGGGGTCAACAACAACAACTTGGATTTATATAGTGCCCTCCACGCCGGACGGATCCCGGGGCCGAGCCGGGGGGAGGGGAGGAAGGTGACCAAGGGCGGAAAGGTCTTCAGCCGAGACCTGAAAATAGGAAGAGAGGGGACGAGGCGGAGGAAGGGAGTTCCAGAGCCTCGGGGCATAGTGGCTGAAGGCACGGCCACCGAGGGTGGAGTGGAGGACTCGGTGGACAAGGAGGAGGCCAGACCCGGAGGAATGAAGGTAACGGGCGCTGTTGTGAGGAGAGAGGAGGTCAGAGAGGTCAGGGGGTGCGGAGGAGTGGAGGGATTTGAAGACAAGGGTGAGGATCAGAAGACAAGGTCTAACCCCTGAACTACAGGGGCTTGTGGGGTGCGAGGGGAGGGGTCTAACCGCTGAGCTACAGGGGCTGTGGGGTGCGAGGCGAGGGGTCTAACCCTTGAGCTACAGGGACTGTGGGGTGCGAGGGGAGGGGTCTAACCCCTGAGCTACAGGGGCTGTGGGGTGCGAGGCGAGGGGTCTAACCCCTGAGCTACAGGGGCTGTGGGGTGCGAGGGGAGGGGTCTAACCCCTGAGCTACAGGGGCTGTGGGGTGGGGGGCGAGGTGTCTAACCCCTGAGCTACAGGGGCTGTGGGGTGCGAGGGGAGGGGTCTAACCCCTGAGCTACAGGGGCTGTGGGGTGGGAGGGGAGGGGTCTAACCCCTGAGCTACGGGGACTACATTATGAATGCTGCACTCACAGTGATCTGGCTGTTGGGTGTCCAGTAAGCCGGAGCCACGGTGTCCGTGAGCCAAGAGGTGATGGCAGTGGCGGGTCTCTGGTTGTAGGAACTCACGCACTGTATTACGCAGCTCACGCCATCTATCAGTCTCTGAGCTCCGTGACTGTTGTCCTTGTGGAAGCTGTCGGCCTGAGACAGCGAGAACCAGACATCACATACAGCCAAACCCCCNGTAATAATATTAGAACAATAATTGGCATTTACATCGTTCTCAGGTACGGTAGCGCTGGTTATAATAATATAATAATAATCCTCGCATTTGATACAACGCTTTATCACGTCTTCAAGACGTCTCAAAGCACTTCACTGGATAATAATAACTTATTATTATTATTTCGCCCTCTCACACAGGTTAGTGGCCCAGAGAGCTATACTGTTGGTTAATAATAATAATGCAATAGTAATATAATAATATAAAAATAATACAATAAAATAATAATATAATTATAATGATACTATAATGCAATAGTAATATTACTACCTAATAATAATACAACATAATAATATTAAGCTCTCTCTCGATGGCCGAATTGTGTGAGGGTTTAGCCGGTTAGACTCCAGCAGTTACCCCCAACGCACACTCTGGGCTCCCCCCCCCACTCAAGCCTTGGCTCTCGCCCAACCTGTGCCTAATACTCTCTGGAATTTGATAAGTAGGGGGCGTCCCTCCAGGGAGAGAGAGAGAGAGAGAGAGAGAGCGCATCCCATCCTGACACTCTCTCTCTGGGGTTCCCGGGTGTGGGGGGGATGTGGGGAATTCTCAGTCGGGTTTGGAGACTCTTAACCCACAGTGACGGGTTTCCGTGTGTGTCAGACACCCGACCGGTCACGGTGACGGGTTTCCGTGTGTGTCAGACACCCGACCGGTCACGGTGACGGGTTTCCGTGTGTGACAGACACCCGACCGGTCACGGTGACGGGTTTCCATGTGACAGACACCGACTGGGCAAAAAAACAAAATCTTCCCGACACAATTCCCGCTTCCCGCCTGGACCACTCACTCCGGGCCAGACGTGCTTGATTTCCGGTCGCACCACACTGCCCGCGGGATCCTGGTTCCCAATCCAGTATTGCCGACTTCGGTAGATAATCCCACAGTTGGGGCACTCCAACACATAGCTGTGAACCCAGGTACGAGTGCGCGAGAGTCAGGACATTAACAACAACAACAATAATAATAATAATGATAATAATGATAATAATCCCGGCGTTTGACCCGACGCCTCATCACTTCTTCGAGACGTCTCAAAGCGCTTCACGTGTAGTGACTGTGTGTTTTGTGGGTGAAACGCGGCAGCCGATCGCGCCCAGCGATGTCCCCACAGACAGCTGGGGGGGGGGGGGGGGGAGTAAGGAAATCCCTCCTCCCACCATTAGCCCCTCCTCCCACCATCAGCCCCTCCTCCCACCATCAGCCCCTCCCTCCACACTCCCGCCCCCTTTCTATCAGCCCCCTCCCCTTCCATAGCTCCTCCTCTCCCCGGAGGCCAGATGTGGACTCACCCAGACCAGGCGTACTTGGCCAACCCCAACCACTGGTTGTCGGTCGACGCAGATGTTTTCGGGACAACAATCACCTCGAATCCTCGCTCGTAGCACATCTGTGTATTAATAATAATAATAGATAATAATAATAGATAATAATAATAGATAATAAAAATGAATGATAAATAATAATAATAAATAATGGTAATTGATAATAATTAATAATAAATCAACCACAACAACAAATGACATTTGTAAAGTGCCTTTCATGTCAGGAGGACGTCCCCAGAGTTGCCGAAGGTTTCGCCCCGACCTGACCCGCCCGGGAATCGACCCTTCGAGACGAGGGGTCTAACCCCTGAGCTCCAGGAACACACGTACCTTACAGATCAGGACCTGGTTGCGATGCTGATGGGTGTAACGGCAGCGGTTGGCGGTTGTGTGAGGAATGCCGTCCTTCAAGTGGTTCATACTGTTTGCACATCGCACACTTCAATCAGAGAGAAGGCAAGTCACCAAAGCCAGTGAGTGGGCAAACTCTCCCTCCCTCCCCACCTCCCTCCCTCCCTCCCCCCCCGCCTCCCTCCCTCCCTCCCTCCCTCCCTCCTCGCGCTCTCTCTCTCTCTCTCTCACTCTCTCTCTCTCTCTCGCCTTCGAGATGTCTCAAAGCGCTCCACAGGATACACTACCGAGTGTAGTGACTGCGTGGTTTGTGGGCGAAACTCGGCAACCAATTTGCGCCCAGCGACGTCCCCCCACAAACAGCCGTGGATTATAACGTGGGGCGAGTGTGGGGGGGGAGGGGGGGGGGGGGGGAGAGCTGAAGGAGACTCGGGCGCGAGAGAGGTTGAGATGGGAATATTCCCACGGACTCACCCACAGCTCAGACACACACAGGAGCAGGTGAAATATTTGTCGGGGAAGAAGGAGGTGGGTGGGAGGTGACCCTCTGCGATCTGCTCACTGAATCTTTGGCTCAGAGCCTGTGGGGAGAGAAGATAATAATAATAATAATAATAATAATAATAATAATAATAAATCACAACAACAATAGTAAATGTTAAATAATAGTAAAATAAGAATAAATAAGAATAAATTATAAGAATAATAATAGTAAATAAAAAATAATCCTCGCATTCGACACAGCGCCCGATCGCTTCTTCGAGACGTCTCAAAGCGCTTCAAGGGACACTCTGTCAAGTGTAGTGACTGTGCGTTTTGGGGCGAAACGTGGCAGCCAATTTGCGCCCAGCGGCGTCCCCACAAACAGCCGTGGATTGGAGTGAGCGACCAATTTTATTTGTGTGTGGGGGGGGGGGGAGGGGGGGGAGAGTTGTCAGTGGAGAGAGAGAGACTCTCTTCTCCCCTTCTCTTCCCCCCCCCCCCACCCACAGCGCTACGGGAGATCTTTAACTTCCACCCGGACGGAGTGCAGACGGGGAGAGCGACCGAGTGAGCGAGCGAGGGTTTAAGGTCTCGTCTGAAGGGGCGTCCGGTCGTTATTTACCTGCAGGGCAGCGAAGACCACGGAGAGGGGTCTGGGGGACCGAGCAGACGTGTCCATCAAGCAGCGTCTCACGGCGAGACGGAAGCCGGTGAAGTCGGTGGCTCTGTCTTGGGTCCTCGTCCCCACGTACTCCACTGAGCTGAAGGCCTCCGTGTCCAACCCCAACTCGTGGAACCTCTTGTGCAGGAGCTGCTCGGCTCTGCCCTGGGCCGGAGGGTCTGCGACGATTGGGGACAAAGTCACCCCCCGCCCGTCCTCACCGTCTCCCCCCACCCACCACCCCCAAAACCCACCCCCGCATCCAGCACCGAAACACTCCCCCAAACCCTCCCGTACCCCTCATAACACCCACCCCCGTCCTCTGGAATTCCATCCCACATTCCCTTCCCCCCTCCTGACCCCAACCCCCTCCCCCCTTGACCCCCATCCCTCCCCCTTTCCCCCCAACCTTCGGTCACCCTCCTACCCCACCCTCTCTCCCTCGCTGTGCCCATTGCTCCGCTCACAAGTCCACCTGCAGCCCCGCCCACACCCCATAGCCCCTCCCCAGTACCACAGCCCCCCCCCCACAGCCCCCCCCCCCACACAAACAGCCCCACCCCAACACATAGCCCCGCCCACACAGCCCCACCCACAGCCCCTCCCCCCGGCGCTGGGCTCACCCCCGCCGAGCAGCTGGGTGTGGAGGGTCTCGTGGAAGACGAGGAGGGCAGGGCCGAGGCTGGAGGGGTGGGCAGAGCCTCCGCAGCGGGCGGCCAGGACCCTGAGCTCGGCCGCAAAGTGCCTGAGGAAAGCCTGGGAGGCCCGGCCCAGGAACTGGTACAGGTCCGTGTGGAGCCGCTCGGCCCGAGTGCGGTAAACCACGATGTCGGACACGGCCAGGACCTTGAGGAGGAGCCTCATCCTCTGGCTCTGCCCGGCCGTGGCCCCCAGGAGCCCCTCGGTGTCCAGCAGCAGCAGGGGCAGGTCCCCGGGGGGCCGGGCTGCCCACACGCCCACCGTGCACGAGTCCTGGCTCTCCGAGGTGGGGAAGGCCTCGCGGCCCCCGAAGAAGGCGGAGTTGAGGGTGTGGGATTTGCCGTCGCCTGTGTTGCCGAACACGGACAGGACCTTGAGGGGTTCTCCCCCCCGGCAGCCCAGCCTCCGGGCAAAGCTCTCCGCATCGCCCACCTGCAGAGAAGAGGGCAGAATCGAGATCGGCAACAAACAATCAATAATCAATAGCGATCAATAAATTGGGTCGACGTCGACCCACGTCTGTCGGTGGGGGACGGCTCCGGGCGCCATCAGCTGCCGGGTTTCGCCCACAAAATACCCAGTTTAGTCTGGTTGAAAGGGGGGCATCACTTTCTCTCCCTCTCCCCCACGCCCTCACTCCCCATCACACCCCCCCCACCCCCTCTCTCTTCCTCTTTCCCTCCCCTCCCCCCACTCTCTCCCTCCCCCCCTCCCCCTTCCCCACTCTCTCCCTCCCCCCTCTCTCTCTCCCCTTTCCCCCTCTCCCCCTCTCTCTTCCTCTTTCCCTCCAACACCCCCCCCACTCTCTCCTTCCCTGTCCCTCTCTAACCCTTTCTACCCTTCCCTCAACCCCTCCCCTCCCTCTCTCCCCCCTCACCCCTCCCTCGCCCTCTCTCCCCCCCTCCCTCCTCCTCTCTCCCCCCTCCCCCCCTCCCTCCCCCCTCACCCTCCTCCCTCCCCCTCACCCCTCCCTCCCCCTCCCCCTCCCTCCCCCCTCACCCCCTCCCTCCCCCCTCACCCCTCCCTCCCCCTCACCCTCTCTCTCTCCCCTCACCCCCTCCCTCCTCCTCTCTCCCACCTCACCCCCTCTCTCCCCCCTCACCCCCTCCCTCCTCCTCTCTCCCCCTCACCCCCTCCCTCCCCCCTCACCCCCTCACCCCCTCTCTCCCCCCTCACCCCTCCCTCCCCCCTCACCCCCTTTCTCCCCCCAATGCAGAATTTGAACAAAACAACAAGAAACAAAAAGGGAAAGTTACAAACCTTCAAAGTTTCGTTTTCATCCACAATCAAAAAGCTCTGAACTTCTCCCTCTGTCTGACTGTCGCTGATGGAAGAATCTCTCTCTTTATGCAGCGAACTTGACATCATTTGATGTATAAAATACGTCTCTATATTTATATTTATATATATATTATTATTATTGTGTCTCTGTGTCTTTTAGGGCAACGATGTATCTCCAATTCTCTTCCTCTCTGACTTTCTCCTCTGCAGTTGGAAAATAAATCTATATTTTGTATCTGTATAAATATTACACAAAGATATTCATAAATCATAAATCATAAATGATCCCCAGGTCTCGGCTTCTCGACTCCGACGTTGTTTTTTGACGTCGAAACGCCCCGAAAAGCGTTCGGATTGGTATTGGTTTTGTTTTGTTAAGAAAAGTTCACTCCCAGTGACTGCTCTGTGTTACTGCAACACTCACTCACTCACACAGTCACTCTCACACTCACTCACACAGTCACTCACACACTCACTCCACTCTCACACTCAATCACATAGTCACTCACTCACACACTCACTTTCACACTCACTCACACTCACTCACACAGTCACTCACACTCACTCACAGACACACACTCACTCATACACACAGTCACATACTCACTCAAACACACACTCACATACACACACAAACATATACACACACATACATAGTCACGGACACACATACGCATAAACACATGGACACACACAATAATAATAATAATTCTGGCATTCGACCCGGCGCCTGATCCCGTCTTCGAGACGTCTCAAAGCGCCTCACAGGATACGCTGTACTGTGTAGTGACTGTGTGTTTTGCGGGCGAAACGCGGCAGCCAATTGCGCCCGGCGACGTCCCCCACAAACAGTCGTGGATTGATTGAAGTGACCACATGATTATTATTATTATTATTATTATGCCCCAAAGTGCAGTAATTAATAGCACATGATCCAATCCACGGCTGTTTGTGATGTTTCAGTGTATCCTGTGAAGCGCTTTGAGACGTCTCGAAGACGTGATCAGGCGCTGTGTCAAATGCCAGGATCATTATTATAATTATTATAATTATTATTATTATTACAATGCTGTGTGTCTGTAACAAGAGGATTGCCTACAACTCCCGCCGGGCTTTGCGCGGGGGAAGAAGGTGGGGGTGCGGCGGAGACTACAACTCCCGTGAGGCGGCGCGCGCCGCGGCTGAGTGTGCGCCTGCGCAGCCCGGAGTGACGTAGCTCCTCAGTGTGAATGGTCCTCTCACTGTTACTGTTGCGAATTGTATCCCTTACGGTTCGGGATCAGCTGTTCACACACTCCCTCTCTCTCCCTCTCTCTCTCTCTCCCTCACACTCACACACTCACTGCACACCCACAGCTCTCACTCACACTCAGGTATATTTTATTATTATATCAAGATGGCGACAGTTATTCAGAACCCTCTTAAATCGTGAGTATCTCTCTTTATTTTCTCCTCTCTCTCTCTCTCTCTCTCTGCAACTGCATTTTGCAAATTTACAATCTCTGCTCTCTCTCTCTCTCTCTCTCCCTTTCTGCTGGTGCATTGGCTCAATTCTGCACCCCCACCCCCCCCACCACCATCACCACCACCACACACACCCCCTCTCCCCCCACTCTCTCTCTCTCTCTCTGGAGCCTTTGCTATGTGTGTGTGTGTGTGTGTGTGGAAGGAGTGTGTGTGTGTGTGTGTCTGTCTGTGTGTGCAATTGTCTGGGTCAGTCTGTGTGTGTGTGGGGGGGGGTTGTCTGTGACACAATTGTGTGCAATTGTATGTATGTCTGGGTTTGTATGTGTCTGTGTGCAATTGTCACAGTGTCTCCCCCCCCCCCCCTTTTGCAAAGTTGCATTGCACACAGGAGGGAGGGAGGGATGCAGGAGGCAGGGGTTGGAGTGGGGGGGAGAGAGGGGACAGAGAGAAATAGGGGAGAGGGCAGAGAGACAGATGGGGGGAAGGGAACAGTGAAGAGAGAGATGTTAGAGAGGGTTGGGGGGAAAGATAGGGGGAGTTGGGGGGGAGGGAGGAGCAGTGAAGAGAGAGAGAGAGGGAGACATGGGGGAGGGAGAGAAAGAGATTGGGAGAGAAGGATAGAGAGAGGGAGATGGGGGGAGAGGGGTAGAGAGAGGGGATTGGGGAGAGAGGGAGATGGGGGGAGAGGGGTAGAGGTTCTTTGCTTTGCACATGAATTATGAGGGTGCAATGGCCAACATGCACTAGTTATTTGCTGAACCCCCTTCAATGAATGTGATGCTGATTTTATTTTATCTTTGTCTGTTTTTTTTCCTGAGTGGTGGTGAGGGGGGGGTGTGATGTGCATATTTGTGCGTTATGTGTGTGTGTGTGTGTGTGTTTAGAGATTCCTCTCTCTCTACTGTTAATAGTTTAATTTTATTTTATTGGTGGGGGGGAAGAAGAGGGTGATTTTTTTTCTCTTTCTCTCTTTTCTCTTTCTCTCTCTCTCTGTGTGTGTGTGTCTGAATGCAACACAACACAGGCTGATCTTTCAGGGGGGAAAAAATGCTGTTTTATGATTAGGTTGGGTGGGAGGGGAGCATTTGTGTGTGTATTAATGGGGCTTCATTCATATGAATGTGCAGCACAGCAGCCAAAGCCACTCGCCTTTAATGAGCGGCTGCGGTGACAGCGTCTCTCCAGCGCCGCCCGGCGGCAGACACTGGAACTGTCAGCGTTAACAGGGGGGGGAAAAGCAGGCGAATTAAAGGCAACGGGTCATCAATAAGCAGTGAGCCGACCAATAATCAGATTGAATGATGATTTATAGATCAAATAATAACAGTGATCATTTTTTTTTAAGGTGATGATAATAATAATAATCCTTGCCTTTGACACAGCGCCTTATTGCGCCGTCGAGAGGCCTCAAAGGGTCTGCTGTTGTATTGTATGTTTATGACCGATAAAATGTATTAAAAATGAAAATATCAGTATAATCCAATAATTAAATATATTGTGAAGTGTCAAAGAGGAAGTTTAATTGCAAAGGGGGGAAGAGTGCGGTGAAAAGACCATCATAAGATCACAGACAATTAGCTTTGCGGCAACATAACATAATAATCCTCGCATTTGACACAGCCCCTTATTACGTCTTCGAGACGTCTCAAAGCGCTTCACAGGATACACTGTAAAGTGTAGTGACTGTGTGTTTTGTAGGAGAGACGTGGCAGTCAATTGCGCCGCCCAGCGACGTCCCCACAAACAGTCGCGGTTCGAAGTGACCGAATTATTATTATTATTATTATTATTTACTTGTGTGTGTGTGTGTTTTTTTTTTACAACACCCAAAAAGAAATCCGCTTGGGGGTTTGCAAAAACCCAATAAAAATTTTGCTGCAATTGGCGTGTGCGTGTGCATGTGCACGCGTGTGCGTGCGTGTGTGTGTGTGTGTCTTTTTACTTTGTGATTTTGCTCAATCTGTTTGCAAGGGCTCGAAGGGGTTAATGTGTGTTCTGTGTGTGCCAGAAGGAGAAAATTATTGCTATGCCTCTCTCTCTCTCTCTCTCTCTCTCTCCCTCCCTCCCCCACCTAATATTTAATACATAATGCATCCATTTCTCAGCCCTGGAGCTAGCTCTTGCAATGAGATCCGCTGGGGTTCTGAATTTGGGGGGATTTGCGAGAGAATTTGGGGAATTTATTACAGTAATAATAATAATAATAATCCTTGGGTTTGGTACAGCGCCCGATCACGTCTTCGAGACGCCTCAAAGCGCTTCACAGGATACGCTGTAAAGCGAATGGACTGTATATTTTGTGGGCGAAATGTTGCGTGTGAATTTCCTAACTAATAATAATGATAATCAGCGCCTTGGGAGGTCCTCCCGACGTGAAAGGCGCTCTATAAATGTAATTTTGTTGTTGTTGTTGTTGTTATTGTAATCCTTGTGCATTGATACAGCGCCTGATCACGTCTTCGAGACGTCTCAAAGCGCTTCACAGAATATATATATATATCTGTGAATTGCTCACTTGGCGTCAGAGGACGCTGGATAAAAATAATGATAAAATAATAATAATTTCAATAATTTTAATAATAATATTATTAATAATATTAGCAAAGTGGATTGACTGTATATTTTGTGGGCGAAATGTGTATCCTGCATGGGTTTGGTTCATACGGAGCTCAGACAGACAGACAGAGGGTGCTAACAAAAACTGAGTATTTTAGGCAAAATCTTTTATTTGCAATCCCCCCTTCAACAAAAAAAACCAGAGCCGCTTTAATTATTTTATTACTTCTTAATAAAAAAAAGTATTTTATGGTTTTGATATAAAAGCATGTCATTACTTGAATGAAAGTGTTCGATTCCGTTGAAAATAATTGCGTCATTTTGCGGGTTTAATTCGATAAATCTATCATTTTTAATAAAATATCGGCTTTGAAATCGCTGCGAAGCTCTCCAGGACGCCGCCCGGCGTGAAGGGACCGATTTCGATGCAAGTTGTTGTTAAGTGACATCAGTATTTCAAATATTTTATTATTTTAACGGATTTTAGAAACGCTGCTTTAATGAGGGGAATAATAGTCCCCGAGTGTGTGACAATCCACAGTCACTCCACTTTACAGCGCATCCTGTGAAGCGCTTTGAGGCGTCTCGACGACGTGATCAGGCGCCGGGTCAAACCCCGGGATTACCGTCAAGTGTAGTGACTGTGTATTTTGTGGACGAAACGTGGCAGCCAATTGCGCCCAGCGACGTCCCCACAAACAGTCGTGGATTGAGCCACCGATTTATTATTATTTATTTATTTGAAGGGATTTCCCCCAATCGACCGACAGCCGGGTCAATAATAATAATAATAATAATCCCGGCATTAGACCCGGCGCCTGATCACGTCTTCGAGACGTCTCAGAGCGCTTCACGGGATGCGCTGTAAAGTGTAGTGGCTGTGTGTTTTGCGGGCGAAACGCGGGCAGCCGATCGCGCCCGGCGACGTCCCCCACAAACCAAGCTGTGGATCGCGATCAATTCACTGCACGTTTTTCCCTGGAATTTCTAGCTTTTGGCCTCGTTGCTGTAAAATATTCTGTATAATTCAGTCCACACACAAAACAATTGGTGAACGTGGAGTCGGGAGATGGCGAATTCACACAAACCTACAGCAAGATTTTACCCAGTCAACAAAAGCTGCTTAAAGGGGTAACTCTTCTAGACCCACAGAGGGAAAGATGGGGGAGGGAGAGGAAGAGATTGGGAGAGGAAGAGATTGGGAGAGGAAGATAGAGAGAGGAAATGGGGGACGGGGTGGAGAAGGGGGGAGATGGGCGGGGAGAGGAGAGGGGGTAGAGAGAGGGGATTGGGGGAGATGGGCGGGGAGAGGGGATTGGGGGGAGAGAGAGAGATGGGGGCAGAGAGGTAGAGAGAGAGAGAGGGAGATGGGGGGAGAGAGGTAGAGAGAGGGAGATGGGGGGGTGGTTTCATAGCACAGGAGGAGAGGAAAGACTTTATTAATAACGATCCTCGCATTTGATATAATAATGCTAAAGTAATCCTGGCCTTTGACCCGGCGCCTCATCACGTCGTCGAGACGTCTCAAAGCGCTTCACGGGATACGCTGTAAGGTGTAGTGACTGTTTTGCGGGCGAAACACGGCAGCCAATTGCGCCCGGCGACGTCCCCGCAAACAGCCGGGGGTTGAGTGAACAATTTATTATTATTTTGAAGGGATTATTCCCCCCAGAAAGTGATCCCCCAATCGCCTGACAAGCGGGTTCCTAGTGACTGCCGGGGACACAGGCGCGTGTGTGTGTGGGTGTCTTGTGTTCAAACCCCTTCACCCCCCCCTTGGCATCTCCCTCTCTCCCTCCCTCCCTCCTCACTCCTCCCATTCCACCACCCAGTCAGTGCCTCCGCTCGACTGGCACCCACCTGCCCCCCCTCGTGCCCTCCGCCCCCACCATCGGAGGTTGCGCTTTCAGCCGCTACGCCCCCAAACTCCCTCTCTCCGCCTCGCCCCCTCCCTCCCTCCGCCTCGCCCCCTCCCTCCCTCCGCCTCGCCCCCTCCCTCCCTCCCTCACCTCCCTCCCTCCCTCCGCCTCGCTCCCTCCCTCCTCCGCCTCGCTCCCTCCCTCCTCCGCCTCGCTCCCTCCCTCCCTCCGTCTCGCTCCCTCCCTCCCTCCGCCTCGCTCCCTCCCTCCCTCCGCCTCTTTCAAGCCCCATCTGAAAACCTTCACTTTGACCGTACTTAAGGGCATCTCCCCCCCCTTCCCCCTCACCGCACCCCCCCCACCACCATCAACCAGGGTCAGGCTCCGAGTCAGGGTTAAGTGCTCCGAGACCCTGTGCTGTGTGATGGGGGGTGTGTGTGTGTGGAGAGGGGGGGGGTGTTTGGGGGTACATTAGGGGCTAGTTGCTGTTTGAGGAGGTGTATGGCTGTGTATATTTTTTGTTGTTGTGTTTAAATGGGGGGGAAAGTGGCTCAGGATTCCTTGGGAAAATGCCAGGAGTTTTTATCAGATCCTGACAGCTGGCACAATAATAACAGATCTTCCCCCCCCTCCCCCCCCCACCACCCCCCCGTTTAATATTTAACTGTCTGCACATCTGGCCTGCACATGTGGAAGATTTGTAGGGCTCACCGTCCACACAGAGAGAGAAGCAGAGAGGGGGAAGGAGAAAGAGGCGGGGAGGGAGAGTGGGGGGGGGGGAGAGAGAGGGAGGGAGAGAGGGAGAAACTCCCTTTTTCTCCCCCCCCCACCCCCCCGCGCTCCACTCACCCCCGACCCAGCGGAAGATCTTTAACGTCCGTCTGAACCGGGAGGGGATAGGAACGGGGTGTGGGGGGAGCGCGAGTGAGGTTTAATGTCTCATCCGAAGGACGGTGTCGCCGACAATACTTCTCTCTCTCTTTCTCTCTCTCTGTGCCCACCCCCCAACCCCCAGCGCTGGGCTGGAGAGTCAGCCTGGACCGTGAGGGGTGGGGGTGGGTTGGGGGCTCGAACCGAGAGAGAGCGAGAGAGAGAGAGAGAGAGAGCGCATGCGAGCTTGAGACCGAGCCACGGCTGACATCGAAACGTGCCTTAATATCTTTGCTCCAAACGTGTCTGTCGATCGATTGCTCGGTCCGTGGAGCCCCTCACGCGGATAGTCCCACCTCCGCGGCCTCTGGCGCGGTAACGTCCCACGGTTACGCTTGGCTCCACACCCCGGCAAGCGCAGAGAGGCGTCTCGAAGGCACGATAAGGCGCCAGTTACTATGAGAGTCCCCTGGGCACGGGCGAGTGCTCACTGGGTGTTGCGACGCAGGTTTAATTCACATCACATTGAGCCGATGTCGGGGCTGAAATCCAGCGAGGAGGCTTGGCAGCTCTCGGAGCGATCACACAAGCCACAGCTCACTCCCGGCCACAGAAAAACCCTTCCCACCCATTTGATCTCGTCCGTCCTGAATCCGATCCCAACTCCACAGCTGGAACGGGTTATCAGTAAAAGGGACGGCTGAGCAAAACCAGGATCGCTCAGCAAAGAGCTGGCGGTGGGGCAGACTGAGTGCTGGGTGTGGGGGGGGGGGGGGGTGGGGGAGGGAGATCGAATAGTGTGGAGTCTCTCCCTGTAGCTCAGGGGTTAGACCCCTCGCCTCGCGAGCCAGAGGACCCAGGTTCGATTCCCGGGCGGGTCAGGTCGGGGCGAAAGATTGGGCAAGTTTCCTTACTCCACACACACACACACCCACAGACAGACAGACAGACAGATGTGAAAATTTTGGTGTAAATGTTTGTTGTTGTTGTGTGTGAGAGGGTTTGCTGGTGTCGGAGGCCTGTCCTGCCCTGTACAGTGCAGATCAGGACACCAACTAGTTGTTGTGGCTGTTTTGCAGGTGGTGAGGGGGTCGGTGTGATGTGATGTGATGGGTGGGGGCTGGCTGTGTGCGGGCTGGGCTGGGCTTGGGGGGCTGGGCTGGGCTTGGGGGGGGCTGGGCTGGGCTTGGGGGGGCTGGGCTGGGCTGGGGGGGCTGGGCTGGGCTGGGGGGCTGGGCTGGCTGGGGGCGGGCTGGGCTTGGGGGGCTGGGCTGGGCGGCTGGGCTTGGGGGGCTGGGCTGGGCTTGGGGGGTTGGGCTGGGCTTGGGGGGCTGGGCTGGGCTTGGGGGGCTGGGCTGGGCTTGGGGGGCTGGGGTGGGGGGCGCTGGGATGTGTTGTGATGGGGGTCCGGCTGTTTTCCAGGTTGGGGGAGGACTTTTACCGCGAAGCCATCGAGCACTGCCGGAGTTACAATGCGCGGCTGTGTGCGGAGAGGAGCATGAGGTTACCTTTCCTGGACTCGCAGACAGGAGTGGCTCAAAACAACTGCTACATCTGGATGGAAAAGACTCACAGGGGCCCAGGTAAACAACAACAACAACAACAGAATTACACCCCCTCACGCAGGGTAGTGTCCCAGAGCCCAGAGCCAGAGTGGGGGGTGGGTGGCGGCGGGGAGGGGGGGAAGGAGGAGTGGGAGAGGTGACTGTGGACATGGTTGAAGAACGAGGTCTTCTGGTGAGACCTGAAGTTGGGGGAGGAAGGAGGGGGCAAGAGGGAGAGGGAGAGGGAGTGAGAGAAGGAGGGAGGGACAGAGGGAGGGAGGAAGACCGACAGAGAGAAGGGAGAGTGAGTGTGACAGAGTTCACCTTTCCCTTTAACACCAAAAGGGCCTCAGGGGCTGAGACCGCCTGGAATTTGGGAGTCACAAACATCCAACCCAAACAGAGGTGAACGTGGAGCCCAAACAGTTTGTGTCTCAGTCTCGGAGGAGATCAGTCACTGCCCAAATTTCATCCTAATTGGCATCAGTGTAAGTCTGTGTGTAACCTGAGCTTCACACACACAGACAGACACACACATACAGACACAGACACACACACAGACACACACAGACACACTCACACACAGACACACTACCCACACACACACAGTACCCTGCGTGTGTTTCCCAGCAGTCAGTCACTTGTTATTCGATTGGGGGATCACTTTCCGGGGGTAATAATCCCTTTAAAAAAACAATAATAATTTGGTCGCTTCAACCCACGACTGTTTGTGGGGACGTCGCTGGGCGCGATCGGCTGCCACGTTTGACCCACAAAACACACAGTCACTACACTTTACAGCTTGTCCCGTGAAGCGCTTTGAGAGACGTCTCGAAGACGTGATCAGGGTCCGGGTCCCACGCCAGGGATTATTATTATATATAACTATTATAATAATAGAAAAACGTTTGATAAACTCACCTCTCTCTCTCTCTCTCTCCGCAGGGCTCGCACCGGGACAACTCTACACCTATCCCGCTCGTTGCTGGCGTAAGAAAAGGCGACTGAATATTTTAGAAGATCCTCTGCTCAGGCCGTGTGAGATTAAACTGGGTAAGAGACGTTGGTTTTGATAGAAAAACAAGTCGTTTTCATCCCAAGAAATTGTGTGGCTTAGTGGTAGCTCTCTCTCTCGCTCTCTCTCGCGCCTCTGATTCAGAAGCTTGTGGGTTCAAGCCCCCACTCCGCCCTTTGAGCTCACAGTCTAGGCTGATGTTCCAGAGCAGTGCTGGGGGTGGGGGCGTGGAGGGGTTGTGGGGGGGGAGAGCGAGACAGAGAGAGAGAGAGAGACATTGTCAGAGACTCCGTCTTCCGGTTGAAGACGTTAAACCGAGATCTTCGGGACGTCTCAAAGCGCTTCAAACGACGCACTGTAAAGCGGAGTGACTGTGTAATCTGCGGGCGAAACACGGCAGCCAATTGAGGCATCTGTGTGTCTCTGTGTATGTGTGGTACGTGTCTGTGTGGTATGTGTGTATGTGTGCGCGTGGAGTAAGGAAACCTGCCTAAGCTTTCGCCCTGACATGACCTGCCCAGGAATCGAACCCCTTTAAGTTGCGAGGGTCGGGAGCGGACAGCAGCTTTGCAGCCGTGAAGCAAATTCAATGCTAAACCCATTAGATGGATGAGGATTCCCTGGGCCCCTGATTAATGTCCTGCCTGTTAATTGATTGCCTCTCACCTCCTCAATGAGAATCAACTGCAGTGTCAGAGGTGATGTGGTCGGGAACCTCGAGCAGTGATAATGAACTCCGTTTCCTCTGGGCCCAAAGCTAAATGACTAGACGGGGAGTTAAAGTGAATTAGGGGCCGACCCGATAGGACCAGAGGCCACGCACGGCTGCCATCAAAGGGGGTAAATTAATAATAATAATAATCCTCGCGTTTGACACAATGCCTTATCACCTGTTCAAGACGTCGCAAAGCATCTCAAAGGTTACACCGTCGAGTGTTGTGACTGTTTTTTGGGGGAGCGAGACTCGGCAGCCGAGGGTTGAAGCAACCGAATTATTATTATTATTATTAGAATCGACTAACAACTGGGTTCAACTGACTGCTGGTAAACACAGGCGCGTGGAACCCGGGTCCTCTGGCTTGCGAGGCGAGGGGTCTGACCCCTGAGTTACAGGGAAAGACTCCACATCAGGCGCTGTATCAAAGGCAGGGATTATTATTAATATTATTGTGTAATATTTCGCTCAGACGCGGAGGTGGCGTTGAAGAAGGAGGGTTTGCTACCGGAAGGTGCTGCTCTCGAGGCCCTTCTGTGTGGGGAGACAGTGGAGAAGAAAACCGAGGCAGAGGAGGAGAGCATCAGTGAATGTCAGGTACAGACAACACCGACAACTTGGCTTTACCCCCCCCCCCCCCCAACCCCCGCACAACACCGAACCCGGGGGGACGGAGTAAGGGGATGACTGTAGGTGTGGGAGACACACTCACTCACTCACTCACTTACACTCACTCACACTCACTCACTCGCGCACACACACACAGTGTAAGTGCTGTGTAAGTGCAAGAAGCTAATCAATGTCTCTGTGTGCGTGGCGTGTGCGTGGCGTGTGCATGGCATGTGCGTGGCGTGTTTTGTCCCTACAGAGGATCCTGGCCAATGACTTTCCTCATGAAATCGAAGGGGATGAGCTGGAGGATGAGGCACCAAAGAGGAAAAATAAAACCAAAAGCAGAGTGAGTGACCCACAGTGTCCTCTGAGGGGCCGAGGGGGTGGGTGAGGGGTAAGGGGGGAGGGGCGGGTAGGGAGGGACAGGGACTGGGGGGGTACAGAAGTGGGGGAGTGCAATTGGGAGAGGGTGGGAGTGAGGCTGAACAGTGTTGGGGGAGAGGGGTGGTCAGATTTGATAGTTTCTCACTCACAGACACAAATACACACACACACTCACAAAGACACACACACAGACACACACACTCACTCACACAGACACACACACTCACACACACTCACAAAGACACTCACACAGACACACACTCACACACACTCACACACACGCTCACACACACACACACAACAGACACAGAGACAGAAGCACACACGGACACACTCACAGACACAAGCATGCACACACAGACTCTCACTCCCCCCACTACCCCCCCTCTCTCTCTCCCCCCCTTCTCTCCCCCCTCTTCCTCCCCCTCTCTCTCTCCGCCCCCCCCCCCCCCCAGCTCTCTCCCTGTGACACCCCCCTCACGGAGACCGTGTTAACCACCTCTCTGTGTTGCAGGCGTGTGGTATAGGTGGACTGAGGAAAAGGCAGGAGCCGACATCACTGGAGGATAGAGACAAGCCGTACGTGTGTGACAGTGAGTAAAGCTCCCGCTCTCACTCCCAGCGTCTCAGCCGGGCTCCGTCACTCTCTCTCTCTCTCCCTCTCACACTCACTCACTCACTCTCTCTCCCCAGCACTCCCTCTCTCCCTCTCACACTCACTCACTCTCTCTCCCCAGCGCTCCCTCTCTCCCTCTCACACTCACTCACACTCTCTCCCCAGCGCTCCCTCTCTCCCTCTCACACTCACTCACTCTCTCTCCCCAGCGCTCCCTCTCTCCCTCTCACACTCGCTCACACTCTCTCCCCAGCGCTCTCTCTCCCTCTCACACTCATACACTCACTCTCACTTTCACTCCGTCCCTCTCTTATTCTTTCTCACACACATACACACATACGCGCGGTCTCTCACACTCCCTCCCTCCCTCCTTCTCACACTCACTCTCCCTCCCTCCCTCCCTCCCTCTCGCACCCTCCCTCCCTCCCTCCCTCCCTCTCACACTCTCTCCCTCCCTCTCACACTCTCTCCCTCCCTCTCACACTCTCTCCCTCCCTCTCACACTCTCTCCCTCCCTCCCTCCCTCCCTCTCACACTCTCTCCCTCCCTCCCTCTCTCACACTCACTCTCTCTCCTTCCCTCTCACACTCACACTCACACTCTCTCTCTCTCACCTGCAGTCTGTGGAAAGCGCTATAAGAACCGTCCGGGGCTGAGTTATCACTACACACACACACACTTGGCCGAGGAGGAGGGAGAGGATGACTTGGAGCGACACACGCTGCCATTTCACCGCAAGAACAGTCACAAACGTAAGCTCTTTCTCTTCACCCCTTTCCCCCCCCCCATTTGCCCCCGCTCTCCCCCCCCATTTCCTCCCTCCCCCTCTCCCCTGGCAGGGAGGGGGAGAGAGAGAGAGAGAGGGAGGAATCGATGAGAATGATTTTGACCCCAATAATAATAACAATAATAATAATAATTCGGTCGCTTCAACCCCCGGCTGTTTGTGGGGACGTCGTTGGGCGCGATCGGCTGCCGCGTTTCGCCCACAAAACGCACAGTCACTACACTTCACAGTGTGTCCCGTGAAGCGCTTTGAGACGTCTCGAAGACGTGATCAGGCGCCGGGTCAAACCCCGCGGTTATTATTATTATTATTTGACATTTAGTGTCCCCGGTTGGGTCGGGGGAGGGGTGGGGGTGTGGGGTGTGGTGAGGGTGGGGGGTAGAGGACAGAGAGGGCAAAACACCACTTTTTTTGAAGGGATTATTACCCCCAGGAAAGCGATCCATCAATCGACTAACAACCGGGTTCCTGCTCGCTACTGGGGGGCCACATGTTGCAATCAAATGGGTTGGTTTTGGGGCTAAGGCTGGATGGAATCTTCCTGCCCCCAACGCCCTCCCCCCCTCCTCTATGTGCCCCCCATTTTTCCTGCTCTAAATTCCTCCCCTTTGTCTGAAATCTCCCCCATTCGCCTCCCACTTCCTTTCCCTTCCCCCGAATACAAATGAATAGTTCTCTGGTCGTGTTGTGTTGGGGGGTGGGGGTCAAGGTGGTGGTGGGGTAGGGGTGGGGGTGTGCTGTGACGGAGGGGAGTAGGTGCTGTGTCGTGTGTGAACCCCAGTTACTGATGCTGCTGCTGCTGCTGTTGTTGTTGTTTGGGTGGGTTAAGGCCTGTGTTCAATCCCGGGTTTTTTGAAAGCGTTGACTTGGTGTGAACGGTGGATGCAAGTTACCGCCATTTTTGCCTACAAAACACGCAGTCACTACACTCCACAGTGTGTCCCGTGAAGCACTTTAGGACGTCTCAACGACGCGATAAGGCGCAGTATTGAATGCAGCGGTTATTAGGGTTCGTACATCACAAATCACCACTATATAAACTCCAAACAGTACTCTCTCTCTCGCTCTCTCTCTCGATGGCCGAGCTCTGTGGGTTTAGCCGGTTAGACTCCAGCAGTTACCCCCAACCCACACTCTGGGCTCCACCCACCCTCTCCAGCCTTGGCTCTCGCCAACCTGCGCCTAATACCCTCCGGAATTAGGTAAACAGGGGGCATCCCCTCCAGGGAGAGGGGGAGAGAGAGAGAGAGAGAGAGCGCATCCCATCCCGACAATCTCTCTCTGGGGTTTCCAGGTGTGGGGGGGATGTGGGGAATACTCGGTCGGGTTTGGAGACTCTTAAGCAACAGTGATTTTGTGTGTGTGTAGTTGCGTGTGCGTGGTTTTTGTGTGTGTGTAGTTGCGTGTGCGTGATTTTGTGTGTGTGTAGTTGCGTGTGCGTGTCTGTGTGGGGAGGTGGTGGGGGTGTGGTGTCTGTGTGGTATATGTGTGTGGTATATATGTGGTGTGTGTGTGTGGTATATATGTGGTGTGTGTGTGTGTGTGTGGTATATATGTGGTGTGTGTGGTGTGTGTGTGTGTGTGTGGTATATATGTGGTGTGTGTGTGTGTGTGTGTGTGTGTGTGTGTGTGTGTCAGACACCCGGAGGGATATTGTGGTGGTGTAATGGGCTGTGATGTGTTCGGAGTCGGATGAGGATGCGCGAAGCCTCCTCTGTGCTGAAGGGGATTTAGTTTTTCTCTGATAAGCCTCTGACTGTCAAGCGTAAACTTGTTGTTTTTAACGGATGACAATACAGGCGGAAAAGTTGGCTTGGAGGGGTGGGGGGGACAGACACACAGACAGACCAGGGGTGTGTGGGAGGGGGCGGGGTGTCTCTATACTGTCTCTGTCAGTGTCTGTGTGTGTGTGTCCATCTGTGTGTGTGTATCTGTCTCTATATCTATGTGTGTGTGTGTGTGTCTGTGTATGTCTCTATCTGTGTGTGTGTGTGTGTATCTCTATCTCTGTCTGTGTCTCTATCTATGTGTGTGTCTCTCTCTATGTCTGTGGGTGTGTGTCCATCTGTGTGTGGGTGTTTCTATCTGTCTGTGTGTATGTGTGTGTATCTATCTGTGTGTATGTGTGAGTGTCTATCTGTGTGTGTGTTTGTGGTGTGAGACTGTGTGTTAAAAAGAAACCATCTTACGTCGCATTTTATCCAAATAAAAATTCACGGAGGGTCTTAAATAAAATGCTGATGCCCCAAAGCCCGACAGCCTTTGGCAGCGATCAGACAGAATCTGCGAAGTTACTGATCAGCAAAACACGGATTCAGACGAACCCGTTTGTCTCTGGTGGAGATTAGGAGCCACAGAAATCCTGCGCATTGTCTTTCTGCGTTAATATTTCCTGAGGCTCGTTCCCTATTCCTCTTTGCCGCTGAGTTCGATTCACAAGAGCAAATCCTGGACGAGAAAAAAGACTTCAAGGTCCATCTTCTTCTTATTTTATTATTATATGTGCAAACTCCACCTTCCTGGCAGTCGCTTACACAAATAATAATAATAATAATAATAATAATAATCCTGGCGTGTGACCCGGAGCCCGATCATGTCTTCGAGACGTCTCAAAGTGTAGTGACTGTGTGTTTTGTGGGCGAAACGCGGCAGCCGATCGCGCCCAGTGACGTCCCCCACAAACAGCCGTGGGGTGAGTGACCAAATATATATATTTTGAAGGGATTATTACCCCCGGAAAGTGGTCCCCCAATTGATTAACAAGCGGGTTCCTACTGACTGCCGGGGACACAGGCGCGTTTGTGTCTGTGTGTGTCTGTGCGTGTCTGTGGGTGTCTGTAAGTCTGTGTGTGTGGGTGTGGAGTAAGGAAACTTGCCCAATGTTTCGCCCCGACCTGACCCGCCCGGGAATCGAACCCGGGTCCTCTGGTTCGCGAGGCGAGGGGTCTAACCCTTGAGCTACAGGGGCTGTGGGGTGGGGGGCGAGGGGTCTAACCCCTGAGCTACAGGGGCTGTGGGGTGCGAGGCGAGGGGTCTAACCCCTGAGCTACGGGGCTGTGGCTCGCGAGGTCCATCTAGTTGGCCTCCCACCATCCTGGCAGCCGTTTTGACAAACACTGTACCGTACAGTGAGCAAATTAACGATGAGACAAGACTGAAAGCCCGACATAACGATTTCTGACTGACTGTTTTGTAGGAATCCTAACATTGGAGGCATTTTAATGAATGGGATGGAATAGAAGCCTCCCCCCCCCCCCCACCCCACCGCCCCCCTTTCCCCACCCCCCCTCCCAGACACCACTGGTCGTGAACAAACCGAGCTGCCGACTTGCATCAAAGAGAGAGAGAGAGAGAGAGAGAAAGAATTTTTTTTGTGTGGAAAAAAAAACACATTTTCTTTTTTTTTGCTCGTGAAAAATAATTATAAATAAAATCTGACTGTTACTTTGACTGAACGGTTGTGTGTGATTTATTTTCTCCCCCGCCCCCCCCCCCACCCACTCCACCCCACCAACCCCCACCCCACCCCCTCCCCTCGCCTTAGAAAAATTCCTGTAGCTCAGGGGTTAGACCCCTCGCCTCGCAAGCCAGAGGACCCAGGTTCGATTTCCGGGCGTGTCAGGTCAGGGCGAAACATTGGGCAGGTTTCCTTACTCCCCCCACACACCCGGTTGTTAGTCGATTGTCGGATCGCTTTCCGGGGGTAATAATCCCTCGAAAAAAAAAGTATAATCTAATTACTCAATCCACGACTGTGCGCAATTGGCTGCCGCGTTTCGCCCACAAAACATACAGTCAACTCCCTCTACAGTGTCTTCTGTGAAGCGCTTTGAGACGTCGCGAAGAATTATTATTATTATTATTATTATTATTCAAGTCTGGAGAATTCTCTCCACGTCTTTCTTAAAATCAGGCTCTCGTAACTGCACCAGATATTCCAGTCCTTCAGTGACTTGCTCCCGATTTATCAGCCTCTCTTTGCTCTTGTATTCCATGTCCTTTGCTGTCCTTTGGGTGAGGCATTAAACAGAGTTTCCCCCACCCCTCACCCCCTCAGCCCCCACTCCCCACCCTCCCATCTGTGCCCTGTTAAGGTGGACGTTAAAGATCTCCTGAGTCACAGTTGGGAAAAGAGTAGGGAGTTTTTCTCTCTCTCTCTCTCTCTGGCCAACAACTCCAACCCTCCCCACCCCTCAGATAAAAAATCAGTCACTCAATCCACGACTGTTTGTGGGACAGGCCCGGGCGCAAGTGTTTTCGCCCACAAAACACACAGTCACTACAGCCGACTGCAGTTACAGGTGGAGCCTTGTATGGTGAGGTGAAGTGTAGACAACGTCTACTGTTAAGATCTGACACTTGCTCCGAGACATTATCTCATCCAACAGCACCAGCTCAAACCCGGAGGCAATTGGCATCTGATTTAGTGGTACAACAACAGACACTTGTACAGACCCCTCACGTTGGGAAAGCCGTCCCAGGTCGCTGGACAGTCCGGAGTTTTTGAACCCAAGCTGGGAGTTGGGGTCAGGAAGGGTGCAGGGGGATGGGAGGGTGGCCGAAGGCATGGTCGAAGAGGAAGGTCTTTAGACGGGATTTGAAGGATGCGAGAGAGGGAGTGAAGCAGAGGAATCACAGTTTAGAGTTCCAGAGCGTGATGGCAGAGATGCTGAATGCCCAGACTGCCAATGGCGGGGGACCTGAAGCAGGCTGGGATCCGTCAAGCGGGGGGAGTGGACATGCTGATATGGGGTTAGTGGGTCGGAGAGGTCGGGGGGAGTGGACAAGCTGATATGGGGTTAGGGGTTGGAGAGGTCGGGGGGAGCGGTCAGGCTGATATGGGGTTAGGGGGTCGGAGAGGTCGGGGGGAGCGGTCAGGCTGATATGGGGTTAGGGATTGGAGAGGTCGGGGGGAGCGGTCAGGCTGATATGGGGTTAGGGATTGGAGAGGTCGGGGGGAGCAAGATGTGGAGGGCTTTGAAAGTGACAACCTGGAACAAACCATTGAAGTCTTTGTATTTTCAAAATGGAGTCGCTCCCTGTAGCTCAGGTGTTAGACCCTTCCTCGCCTCGCGAGCCCAGAGAGAGGACCCACCCGGGTTTCCTTACCTACTCCCTCCACCGCCCCCCACACACACACACGCGCGCGCCTGTGTTTCGCAGCAGTCAGTAGGAACCCGCTTGTGAGTCGATCGATTGGGGGATCCCTTTCAGGGGGTAATAATCCCTTCAAGATAATAATAATAATAAATTGGTCGCTTCAACCCATGACTGTTTGCGAGGACCTCTCTCCCCCACTTCCCCCCCATTCCACCACCCACTGCCTCCGCTTGACCAGCTCCGGCCTCGTCCCCTCCGCTCCACCATCGGTGGCCGTGCCTTCAGCCACTGCGCCCCGAAACTCTGTCACTCTCCCCCTCAATTCCTCCGCCTCGCCCCCTCCCTCCCCGCTTTCAGATCCCTCCTAAAGACCTTCCTTTTCGATCGTGCTTACGGTCACCTCCCTCCCCCCTCTCCCTGTGGGTTTCGCACAGTTCCGCACAGTCACTACACCGCAGTACACATCCCGTGACGGACACACAAAGAGATTGGAGACTCTGAGACTCCATCACAATCACTGGCGCACGGCCCCTCGAGACATCACAAAGACGTGATCTGTATCCAGTGTGAGGAATAATATTATTATTGTTATATTATTATTATTGTTATTTTATTTTTATTTTTATTGTTATTATTTTATTATTGCTGTTATTTTATTATTGTTGTTATTGTCGTTATATTATTGTTGTTATTATTATTGTTATTTTATTATTGCTGTTATTATCATTATATTATTATTGTTATTATTATTATTGTTGTTATTATTATTGTTATTATTATTATTGTTATTATTATTGTTGTTGTTGTTGTTGTTATTATTGTTATTATTATTGTTATTATTGTTATTATTATTGTTATTATTATTGTTGTTGTTGTTGTTATTATTGCAGCCAAAAAAGCTGCCGATGGCTCCACTATTCCGAACGGATATTGTGATTTCTGTTTGGGAGGAACGGCCGGGAACAAAAAGACCGGATGTCCTGAAGATCTCATCTCGTGCGCAGACTGCGGACGGTCAGGTAAACCAGACACACACACACACCCCACACACACCCCCCACACACACACCCCACGCGCACACACACCCGCGCGCACACACACCCGCACCCACACACGCACCCACACACACTCTGTTGTTACCCGCTGGTTCGTGGATTGGCAAATGGCTTTCTCGGGGGCAATAATAATCTCCTCCCAAATAATACCAATAATAAATCGGTCGCCGCGGCTGTTTGTGGGGACGTCACTGGGCGCGATCGGCCGCCGCGATTCGCCCGCAAACCACGCGCACAGTCACTACACTCGACAGCGTGACCCCGCGAAGCGCTTCGAGGGACGTCTCGACGACGGGATCGGGGGCCGTCCAAAGGCCGCGATTACTACCAAATTACCAATTACTGCCATCGCCGAAACCCGCGAGCGAGTCTTCGGGATTCCCTCTGGAATTAAGGGGGCCAGGGGGAGGGACTGCGGGGGGGTTGGGGGCATGTGTGGGGTGGGGGGGGGGGTTTGAACCCACAACCTCCTGACTCAAGAGCCAAGAGGGACTTGGGTCACAGACAGTTTAGGTATTAATGAGGTTAAGCCGCAGTCTGACACTGATGACCGCCGTATGATTGAGTTAACTGCTCAAGTGGTTTAACTCGTCACTGGGGGGGGGGGGGGGAGAGGGAAAACCCGTGGGATGAGCCTTCGGGCCGTCCCAAAGCGCTGTCCGGGACACGCCGGCGAGTGTAGTGACTGTGTGTTTCGCGCTCAGCGACCCCACCCCCCCCACAAGCGGCGGTGGCCCCTGAGCTCCGGACGGAGGACTGGAGCCGAGAGAAAGGCATCGTTTTTACACGTGATGGTGATGGTCTCGTTCCTCTCCTTCCCTGATCCCCCCTCTCCCCCCACTCTCCCTCCATCTCTCTCCCTCCCCTCCCTCTCTCTCCCTCCCCCTCTCTTTCCCTCTCTCTCTCCCCCTCTCTCGCGCTCTCCCCCTCTCTCGCGCTCTCCCCCCACCCCTCTTTCTCCCCTTCCCCCCCTCCCACCCCATCCCCTCTCCAGGACACCCCTCGTGTTTGCAGTTCACAGTGAACATGACGGCTGCCGTCAGGACCTATCGCTGGCAGTGCATCGAGTGCAAGTCCTGCAGTCTGTGCGGCACCTCAGAGAACGACGTGAGTAACACACACAGCGGGCGGACAGCCTGGCCCTCCCCACCGTCTGCTCTCCCCTCTCGTCTCCCCCCTCTCCCCTCTCGTCTCTCCCCTCTCCTCTCCCTTCTCTCCCCTCTCGTCTCCCCCCTCCTCTCCCCCCTCTCCCCTCTCGTCTCCCCACTCTCCCCTCTCGTCTCCCCCTTCTCCCCTCTCGTCTCCTCCCTCTCCCCTCTCGTCTCTCCCCTCCCCTCTCCTCTCCCTTCTCTCCCCTCTTGTCTCCCCTCTCCTCTCCCCACTCTCCCCTCTCGTCTCCCTTCTCTCCCCTCTCGTCCCCCCTCTCCTCTCCGCCCTCTCCCCTCTTCTCTCCCCTCTCCCCTGTGGTCTCCCCTCTCCTCTCTCCCCACCTGCTCCAGCTCCCACCCCCCGCACTTCCCTCCCCACCATTGGTCGGGCGGTCTTGCCTTTAGCCTCTCTTGACCTCTCCCTCTGTCACTCTCTCCTTCAATCCCTCCACCTCGCGCCCCCCTCCCTCACCTCCTTCAACTCCTGTCTAAAGACCCTCCTCTTTGACTGCGCCTTCGGACACCCTCCCACACCCCACCCCGTCCCCCCCACTACCCACCACCCCGCCTGTCCCGGAGGAACTGGCTCGAGGGGCTGAATGGTCTCCTCCTATGTTTCTATAAGACATTTCTCCTTCCTCTTCTAGGACCAGTTGCTTTTCTGCGATGACTGTGACCGAGGCTATCACATGTACTGCCTGAGCCCCCCGATGTCTCAGCCCCCAGAGGGTAAGAGCTCAGCCTGTAGCCTGTATTTACCCCTCTCTGCCCCCCCCTAGAGACAGTGAGTGGGCCTGGAGGGAAGGAACAGGAAGAGTTGAGTCTCTGTAGCTCAGGGGTTAGACCCCTCGCCTCGCGAGCCAGAGGACCCGGGTTTGATTCCCGGGTGGGTCAGGTCAGGGCGAAACCTTATCATTTTTATTAAGAGTCTAAACCCAACTGAGAATTCCCCACATCCCCCCCACTCCTGGAAACCCCAGAGAGAGATTGTTGGGATGGAATGCGCTCTCTCTCTCTCTCTCCCCCTGGAGGGACGCCCCCTACTTACCTAATTCCGGAGAGTATTAGGCGCAGGTTGGCGAGAGCCAAGGCTTGGAAGGGGGAGGGGGGGGGGCGCGGAGATGGAGCCCAGTGTGTGTGTTGTGGATAACTGCTGGAATCTAACCGTCTAAACCCACACATAGCTTGGCTATTGAGAGCGCTGTATGGTAAGCTTTCTCGCTGCTTGTCCAGCTAGGACCACCTTCCCCATTAGGACCTTGGTTTAGGCCTCAGAGAGAGAGTGAGAGAGATGTGTGGCTTTGTAAATGGAGATTGAGAGTGACTGTTGTCTTGCAGGGAGCTGGAGTTGTCACTTGTGTCTACGGCAGCTGAAAGAAAAAGCTTCGGCCTACATCACCCTGACTTAAAACTGCTGTTTTGGGGGAACAAACGTTTGAGGTGCCCAATTGCCACATCTCCTCGCGCCAAGCTCAGAGATGTGACCAGACACTAAACCTTGTAAAATTGTCGCTTAAACCCCCTCCCCCTCCAACCCCTTCCACCCACCCACCCTCCCCCCAATAGGCCTTGGGAGACGAGCATCCCTGAGAACCACTTGTAACCCTGTTTTTTGCAATGCCATCAGCAAAGTTTTGAGGACCTTCCTACAAAATGTTCCCTTTGATTCAAAAAAAACTTCTTCAAACAACGGACCCTTTAACTGACCGTTGCAAGTTCTCGGAGGGGAACACGGAGTCCAAAAAACACCACTGAGAGAAGAACGTTCTTCTATTTGCCCTCAGTTTGGGATAGAAAGCTGATCGAAGGCCCCAAGCCTGTGTTGTGGGCCTCTGCATAGTTGGCATTGATGATGGTGATGATGATCATGATGATGATGGGCCTGGAATGTACTGCTCCCCCATCAAACATTGTTGTGCTTCTCGCGAGCCAACTGAAGAAACATACCTTTGCCATCCCAGCCTTGCTCCCTCCCTCCCTTCCTCCTTCCCCTTCACAAACTCAACACACTCACACGCACACACATAAACACTCACACACGCACTCACAACAAACAGAGTATTCCTTGTAAAAATTGCATGTGATGGACAAATATCTCGGCTCCTATCCGCTCACAGAGGAATTCAGACCTGGGGAGGCAGAAACAAGACTTCTCGTTGTGATAGATCGAGAGAGAGAGAGAGAGAGAGAGGGGGAGCGCTGGAAGACAAGCTCACCCTGTTGCAGGGTTGAGGGGTGTCGAGGGAGGGGAGGGGAGGAAGTGGAGCTTATTCTTCAAGATATTTTGTGAAGGGCTTTTTTGGAGATGGTGCTCGGCAATGACAAAGAGGCTTCAAGACCTAACTCAACCCAACTCAGCCCCAACTCAACCAACTCAACCCTAACTCAACTCAAACCCAACTCAACCCAACTCAACCCCAACTCAACTCAACCTTAACTCAACTCAACCTTAACCCAACTCAACCTCAACCCAACTCAACCTCAACCAACTCAACCCAACTTAACTCAACCCACCTCAACGCAACTCAATCCCAACTCAACCCAATTTAACCCAACTCAACCTCAACTCAACCCAACTCAACCTCAAACCAACTCAACCCAAACCAAGTCAACCGACCTCTACTGAACTCCGCCCTCTCTATTCGACTTACGTTTCAAAACCTTCCCCCTCTCCACCTTAGGGTGTGGGGGGGATGGGGGGGGAAACGGACGGGACCTTCTAGAACGTTCCACCGAATTATTCTATGAAGCTCAGACTTGATTCATTCTCTGGAGCTCTCGGGCAGGGATATAGGTCCATAAAAGCAGGAGGGGGAAAGGGAGTGGGGTAGAGGGAGTGGGGTGAGGGAATTAGCACCTCTTGTTCCTTATAACATGACTGATTCTCCAGCACAGCGGACACAAGTTAGTTTGTGTTGGCCGCCTGCAGATTGTTTCTTGAAAACTGGGGCTGAATTGGACGAACGACAACAACAACTTGCATTTGTATAGCACCCCCTCACGCAGGGTAGCATCCCAGAGTGCTTAACACCTCCCCCACCGAGCCCCCATCGCCCTCAACATCTGTGCCAACCCTGTGCCAAACGCCTGGTCTCTTGTTTTGTTAACACCATATCGGATGTTTGGCTCTGGTCTGACTCATATCCTCCGCCTCTCCGGCCCCACCATTGGCCTTCAGCCTCTCGGTCCCCACTACACTTTACAGTAATCCCTCAGAAGCGCTTTAATGAGGCAAAACCAAATGCAATGATTATTATTATTATTATCTTAAATTTTAAGACCGGACACATGAGTGAGACAGAAGATCGAGGGCTGAAGGTGAGCTGTATTTCTGGGTCTGTGCTGTGTGTTGTTGATTCGAGCTTTTCCCGCTTAAGTCCTGTTGTGGAATCCTGTAGCTCAGTGGATACAGCGCTCGCCTCTCAAGCGAGAGGAACTGGGTTTGATTCCCGGGCGGGTCAGGACGAAACATTGGGCAAGTTTCCTTACTCCACACGCACAGACACACACACACACACACGCCTGTTTCCCAGCAGTCAGTAGGAACCCACTTGATTGGTGGTTGGCTTTTCCGAGGGCAATAATCCCTCCAAAAAATAATAATAATAATAAATCAGTCACTCAACCCCCGGCTGTTTGTGGGGACGTCGCTGGGTGCGATCGGCTGCGGCGTTTCTCCCACAAAACGCACAGTCACTCCGCTTTACAGCCTATCCCGTGAAGCGCTTTGAGACGTCTCGAAGACGCGATCCGGCGCCGGGTCAAACGCGAGGATTATTGTAGGGTAATTTCCCGGTTAAGAGGGGCCTGAAGTGCGAGCCATGAAACTGAGTTGAAACGAGTCATTGCTGGGGAAAAAAAGTCTCATCGATGAACTGATGGCATTTTAAACCCAGTGACTGTCCCAGTGCTGAAGCATTCGACCTAATTGCTTGCAAAGTGTATCCGTGGTGTGTGTTCAAACCTGGTTTGACGCTGTTTAAATGCAATGGGGTCTCTTTTGCTGAAGGTTCGTGTTGAATTAATCACGATAAATTAGATTTAAAAGAATATTTTACCTCTTTAAAATTGACCACACCAGTTTCGGGGGAAAAAGATCAGTTTTTAGCTCAGCTCAGCCGGTAGCACTCTCGCCTCCCAAGTGTCAGGGAGGCAGGGAGGTTGTGGGGGGGATTGGAGGGTGGGGGAGAGGGGTAGGTTGTGGGGGAGAGAGGGGTGGGGGCTGCCTTCAATTAACACCGCACCCTAAAATAATAATAATAATGATGATGTGGTCACTCCAGTCCACGATGGTTTGTGGGGACGTCGTTGGGCGCAATTGGTTGCCGCCTTTCGCCCACAAAATACACAGTCACTGCACTTACCAGTGTCTCGGCGACGATTAACAATGGCGGAGCCGGGGGAAAGAAGGTGGTGGGGGAGAGAGGGTGGTGGGGGAGAGGTGGGGGGGGGAGAGGTGATCGAAGGCACAGGGTGGGGGTTGGGAGGGCGGAATATGAATATCGTGCGGAAAGGGTTGGGTTTGGAATTCAACCCACAGGCAAAAGAGACCCGGACCCCAGAGGCTTTAACAGTGTTTCCCGATTAAGAGAAATGTTTACTGATTGCTGTGTAAAAAACGATGTAATGTTGTCGGATCAATTTTCAACCTTTTTTTCCGTGCGAAAGACTTGTCTATTCCCGTGAATTTGTTCCTTTGTTCTTTTCTTTCGCCGCAAAGCTCCACTGCCTAAAACCGCAGAGTGTTGGGTGGGTCTCGAGCTGAGGTAAGGTCGAGGGCTGAGGTGGGAGGTGGGGGGGGGGGGGGGGGTGGGAGGGTTTCTTTTCTTGCAATTAAGAGGCGTTTCTTTTTTTTTGGCGCCTCTTAACACCCGTGGAAACCCAACCTGTTGAGTCTCCCGTAGCTCAGGGGTTAGACCCCTCACCTCGTGAGCCCAGAGGACCGAGTTCCATTCCCAGGTGGGTCAGGTCAGGGCGAAAGGTTGGGCAAATTTCCTTACTCCCCCGCCCCCCCACCTCCTTCCCCCCCCACACACACACGGGTGTCCCCAGCAGTCAGTAGGAACCCGCTTATCAGTTGATCGGGGGATCACTTTCCGGGGGCAATAATCCCTTCCACATAAATAATAATAATAATAATTTGGTCACTTCGACCCACGGCTGTTCGTGGGGACGTCGCTGGGCGCGATCGGCTGCCACGTTTCGCCCACAAAACACACAGTCACTACACTTTACAGTGTGTCCCATGAAGCGCTTTGAGACGTCAGATGTAATTGCCACCCAACACTCTGCTGGTTGAAGTCAGAAGAGCTGGAGAGCGAATGTATTGGTGCTGTGTTGATTGCTGCCGTGTTTTGATGTACTCGTGTCATAATATAAGGTGATGTGACTCTTTACCATTAGGTGTGATGGCCACTTTGAGAATAAATATTGGATTTTAATATCACTTTGCGGAGGATGCACGACTTTGCCTCCCGTTTCCAGGGTGAGCGAGAGGAGCCGAGTGCCATTCCCGGGTCATGACGAAAGGTTGGGCAAGTTTCATTACTACCCCCTGCGCCCCCCTCCACACACACACGCACACACACACACACACACGCCTGTCTGTGGCTTGCGAGGCGAGGGGTCTAATCCCTGAGCTACAGGGGCTGTGGCTTGCGAGGCGAGGGGTTTAACCCCTGAGCTACAGGGGCTGTGGCTTGCGAGGCGAGGGGTCTAACCCCTGAGCTACAGGGAGAGACTCCACAAATCAAACAATAAAGCAAGAGACAGAGTGAGAGAGACTGTTGGGGGTTAATTTGGTTTAGAGGACTCGGGGAAAGCTGCTTACTATTCCTCCAAGACTTGCTGTGACAGTCTGTGAGCAAATCTTGTTAGCATATTCTCACCATCAGCTCCTACTGTTGATCAGGGATCCAAGTCCTTGGGGAAATAGATGGGAATATTAGCATTCCGGGACATTGCAAATTGATTTCACGATGGATGGAATTCCTCTAAGGAGCCTATATATCTTTGCGGAGAGAAGTGGGGAGCGGGGAATCGGGTGGTGGGGGGGAAATGGGGGTTGGGGAATGTTGGACAAACATTTCACCCCATTACCCCCCACACTCCCTCCCCGCCCCCTCTCTCCCTTCCCCTCCCTTCCTTACTGTGGCCACACGAGCGATGGGTGGTGTGAGGTGATGGGGTTAAGTTGGTTGGTAATGGCGACCTGTGAGAATTTTAATTGATATAAAAGGGGGAGAGATGGGGGAAAAGGGGGGGGGGAAGGGGAAAGAAGCAGAATATTACGTGGGGGAAGCAGGGTGTTAAACGAATGGCTTCTCATCAGTCTTGTGTGTGCGTTGTTAACCCATTCCAGCCCCTTGATTCGAACACAAATCTGCAGTATTATAACGGGGAGATTTGT